CCCGGAACTCGACGCCGGGCTGAGCAGCCTTGTGCACTTTGCTTGTTTTTTTGTGGGTTTGGTGTGTTTTTTGTTGTTTTTGTTATATTTTATTTATTTGCTTTCTTTTTATTTATTAAAAAAAGTCATTTATTTGCTATTTTTCCTTTAATTGTTTTAAAATGACTTTCAAAGCCTTGATTCTTTGAGTAAACGCTTCATTTTCCGATCAATGTAGAGTCATGTGTAAAAGATAATGCAGAGAGGTCCCTTAGCCTTCTCCCAGTTTCTCTTGTAAGAGCAGCATCTCACAAGGCCACCTGGGACATCATCAGCGCTGCTGCGATCGACATCCACGCAGTCGCTGACCTCGTTCCCGTTCCCCGGTTTTCCTTGTGCTCTGCCCCCACGTGCTTATCAGGAGCGATCGCCCGTGCGAGCAGGTGGAAAGGCGGGACCATGGACTCCATGACTCCTGTCACCTGAGCTGAGCCGCTGCGAGCACTCACCTTGTCGGCCTCCTCTGAGTCGCTCTGTCTGTACAGCGATCCCTGGAGCCTGTGAGAAACCTGCCTCCCCCTCGGAGCTTCCGCCAACATCTCTCAAGAGGAAGCCCTCTCTGTGGCCTTCGGAACAGGGCAGCCGACCCTCACTCCAGAGGCTTCCGACTCCCTCACTTCCCAATGTTCCGTCCTCCCCGGGGGCTGCCTCAGACCAGAGCCCAGTCCAGGCCCCGCCATGCGCCTTGGCGCCTCTCGTCTCCTGTTCTTTCTTCCTTTCAAGGCATTGCTCTGGGTAGACACCAGGCCAACGATCTTGCCGACAACCCCCGTTCTTAAGGGTTGCGTGCTGCCTTGTACGTCGACAGGAAGCTTTGTCTGAAATCCAGGCCCCTCCTTTTGCAAGAGTCCTTCCCTGTTGTGTGCATTGAGGGGTGAAAACGCCAAGCCGGCCCCTACGGGTGATGGGTAGTTTGATCCCTTGGGTAAAAGGGGGGCCCTGCCAGGTCTCCCCGTGGTGAAGGTGCCCCTTTGTCAGGTCATCTTGGGCAGTTACTCCATCCCCAACAAGCCTTCATCTGATGAGCTTAGCATCCTTCGAGGGTCCTTGTCTGGAGCCAGGACTGGGAAGCAGAGTAGTGATTTCCGCTTCTGAGGGTCATGGGGCTCCGTCCTTAAGAACACTGGGACGGGGGTTCAGTGGGAGACGGGGGGAGGGTGGGTGCCTGGACCAGACTTGCAATCCGAACAGATCGCTCTGGGTGACGTGTAGGGACCACGAGGGACAAGAGTGGACACAGGTAGAAGGGCTGGGATTCCCTCTGGCTGGTCGGTGAGAGAGGCCATTGGCTCAGCGGGTGGGGACGGGACGCACAGAAGCAGCTGGGTGCGTGACGAGAAGGCTCGGCCCAGACAGTACAGTGATGGCTCTTGTCGGAGCTGCCCACTTAGTGGGTGGGACCCTCTCCACGAGCAAAGCAGGGAACGCCGCAGGCGTGGGTTGGCCTGGAAGAATGGATTCACAGACACCTCCTATGCATCCCCCGTCTCCCCTTGTGGACTTGGAAATGCCCCCGGCATAGTCGGTGCAGCCACGTCCCCTGTGCGAGGCAGATGCGACGGCGGGGCCCGCGGCCACGGCTGTAAGCGATGCAGACGACACGGACGCCCAGCAGATCCCATCGCCCACAAGGCACAGCATTCCGTGTGATCAGCAAAGTGCGCGCGTGGAGCAGCTGAGCCCCGCTAATGAGGTGGGGGGCGGTTTCCCGGGAGAGGAGCGGAAGGCGTTGGGGAAAGTGAGAAGGCTTGGCCCAGACAGTACAGTGATGGCTCTTGTCAGAGCTGCCCACTTAGTCGGTGGGACCCTCTCCACGAGCAAAGCAGGCAACACCGCAGGCGTGGGTTGGCCTGAAAGAATGGATTCACAGACACCTCCTATGCGTCCCCCCGTCTCCCCTTGTGGACTTGGAAATGCCACCGGCATAGTCGGTGCAGCCACGTCCCCTGTGCGAGGCAGATGCGACGGCGGGGCCCGCGGCCACGGCTGTAAGCGATGCAGACGACACGGACGCCCAGCAGATCCCATCGCCCACAAGGCACAGCATTCCGTGTGATCAGCAAAGTGCGCGCGTGGAGCAGCTGAGCCCCGCTAATGAGGTGGGGGGCGGTTTCCCGGGAGAGGAGCGGAAGGCGTTGGGGAAAGAGGCGTCGCCTCCGGAATAATAAGAACCAGACCCTGTGTCTCAATTATTAGGCTCGGAGGAGCGATCAGCAAGAAAGCGGGCAATTTCATGCAAATGGAGGCGCGGCGAAATTACCGCACTCAGCCGGCGGAATCTGCAAACTGGTCATTAAAATGGGAAACTCTTGAGAAAGTGGGGAACTGAAGTAGTGAAATATGAATTTCAATATTTAAACCGGGGAGAGGAGCCATGTGTGGTGTGGGGGAGGCACCCCTGCTTGGAGGGCTGGTGGCCAGAACATGTGGGAGCTGGGTTGCGGGGACAGGTCCCTAAGGTCCCCTCAACTGGGGGCCTCTTGTCCAAAGGGTGGTCATAGTTGCTCCCTGAGTTTTCCTTTTTAAATATAGTTTTATTGATTTCAGAGAGGAAGGGAGAGGGGGAGAGAGATGAGAATCATTGATCGGCTGCCTCCTGCACGCCCCCCCCTCCCCCCACTGCCACTGGGATCAAGCCCTGACCCGGAATCGAACCAAGACCTTCTGGTTCATAGGTTGACTCTCAACCACTGAGCCACACCGGCCAGCGCTCCCTGAGTTTTCATTCGTGGGAGGGGCCTGGCTCTGGTGTTAAGGCTGCAGAGAGCGCGTCTAAACTTTGGACCTTGGCGATTCTTGCTCTCAAGTTTAGCTCGTGTCTCTCCGCCAGAAGTCCTTGCAGCTCTGTGTTGGGAATTGCTTCCTTGGCTTCTGAAATTCCGTTTACCTCCCGGGTCTTCACAGCCACGGCACCGGATCCCGATTCCGTGGGTCACGTGAATGAGCAGCGGGTACTGGTTCGCCACCTCTGACCTGGGCCGCACCTTTCTGAGTGACTCTCAGTTGCCTTTCCTCCTCCTCCTCCCCAGGCCTCCAGGGGGCGTGCGGGCTCCCAGATGCGTGCGCTTCGGGGTAACCACTTGTTTGGTTCGGGTGAGCTCAGAGCCCGTGCCAAGCTGTCAGATTCGAGACGCTCTCCTCCTGGCAGGCACGGGGGGAGCCCCGAGGAAATGGGCGCCCCTTCCCGATGCCAGGCTGCATCCTAGCGTGGATGCCGGGCGGACAGTGGAGCGCGACTGAGGAGAGCACAGGACCCTCAGGGAGGCAGGGGGTCACGGCTGAGTAGCCTGTGGGCTGTCGCTGCCGTAAGGAAGGGCTGGCGGTGCCACCGCGTGCTCGATGGTTCGGGGCGAGCTGACTAGGCACAGGTGGTCGGGAGTTCTTTTATTTGCTAAGTTATATAAGGAAAGAGAATGGACAATAAGATCCCATATTCAGCTGGCTAGGGCCTGTTGATAATGAGAAATGGAAGTAGAGTAAATATAAGAATTATTATTTTTTTATATAAGAGAGTATGGGAGAGGGAGAGAGAGAAACATCAATGATAAGAGAGAATCATGGATCGGCTGCCTCCTGCACGCCCCCTACTGGGAATCAAGCCCACAACCCAGGCATGTGCCCTTGACTGGGAATCGAACTGTGACCTCCTGGTTCATAGGTCAACACTCAACCACTGAGTCACACCAGCCGGACACTATAAGAACTATTAATAAGCTTCATGTTATGTTTGTAAACAGTGTTTTTCTCTAAGCAGAAAGTGTGAATACATACCTGTAATCTTTGGGGACGGCACTCTTTTTATTAGAGAGACATGCCGGGGACTGTTTTCAATCATGTCTTTGGAAAAGTTCCCCCCGATGGGAGGTGCTGCTCAAACAGAAAGACAGAAATAGTCCGCAGCGCCCGGGAAATACATCTGCGTTACTTTTTGGAAAGTTTTCATTCAGCGGCGGAGGGCACGGTCACTCATCCTGTAATTACTCAGGGCCGGGCGGCCGGGCTGGTGTCCACGCTCTCCCGCGGGCGGTCTCAGAGTTTCCGTTCTGTTTCAGGACTTCCTGATGGAAACCTTCATCATGTTCAAGAACCTCATTGGGAAGAACGTGTACCCGTTCGACTGGGTGATCATGAACATGATGCAGAACAAGTGAGTACCCAGCGCGAGGCTCCCCTGCTCCAGGCGCCCCTTCCGCGTCTCAGGGGCCCGGGTTGCCTGGTTACCACGGACCGTCCCCGCGGTACACGTGCTCCCCCTTCTGTGACCAAATACTTATTTGGAGAAACGCGCCTGGAGGTTGGGTGGTTCCCTTGTGCCAAGACGGGGCTTTGGTACGAAGAACCCGGGTTCTGCCCCCCGGAGAGGAGCAAACCTGAGCAGGAGCCCCCCTCCCCTTGTCCAGGGCAGAGAGGTGTGTTACGGCCAAAGGTGATCCTGAGTGGGGGGGGTGAAAGGATTGAGAAAAGACAGACAAGAGAATGAAAGCTGGGTCTCGGTGGGACGCTGCTCCCTGATGAAGAGACAGCGCCCACAAGCCGTGTCTTTATTTTATAGCAGATGCCACGAGGCAAAGTAGGGGCGTGATCACGTTGTTTACAGCATTCTCGTGAGTTCCAACCTCACTCAACTACATGCACCCGAACTCTATCACAAGGCACGTGGGGCCACGTGTTCGGACCATAGGTTCAAGCTTATAACCACAGCCGTTGGCTATGATTGTGCTGGGAGGGCCCTGCCCTCCAGCTGGGACTTGCACGTGGCAATGAGAGGACCCTGTCCTTTCATTAGTCCGAGGCTTGAACCTGGCCAAACACCGTAATCGAGCCCCACAGAGGGGGCCATTCGCCGTCTCATTTCAACCACCTTTGTTTGCTGCCCAGAGCAATTCTCAGCTCTATGCCAGGTTTGGGAAAGGTGTTAGCCTTTCATATATTTCAGCTTCAAAAAAGTCATGGGCATTTTCTTCATCCTTCTTTAGCCCGTGTGTGCCATCACCGAGCCGGTTAATTTCCAGCCCCTGGGGGTTTTTAATTTCTGTGAGCAGCAGCCGTGGTCACTGGGCACTCTGTCGCATGTGACTTCTAGAAGGAATTGCTGGCTCCCCGCCTTCTTCTTCCTTCTTATTGCAGTTGTTACGGAGATCGCTGGGATTCACAGGCAGAGGGGTTGTAAGAAGTAACAGAGAGAGAGGCTGTGTACATCTGATCTAGGTTCCCTCAGTGACGCACATTTGATAAAACTGCAGCCCCAAACCACAACCAGAGCAGTGACACCGATGCAGCCCATGGCCATCCCATTTCCCCCGTGTTCCTGGTCCTTGCAGGGGGCCAGTGTTCTCAACTCCATCGCAGTGAAGGCCGGGCCATTTCTGTCACCGCACAGGTTCCCTCGTTGTCCATTTATAACACGCGCTCCTCTCCCCTCCACCCGCCCCTGCCCAGTCCCTGGCAACCGCTAATTTCTTCTTCATTTACACCATTTTGTCATTTTGAAAATGTTATCTCCAGGGAATTACCTGTGGGATGGGTAACGCGTCATTCTCGGGAGAGTCAGGTGGGTTGTTGTGTCGAAGGTTTGTTCCCTTTGTCGCCTGTGGTCTGTCCCGGGGTGTGGACGTACCGCAGGTGGTTTAACTGCTGTCCTGTTGAAGGACTTCCGCAGTGTGGCCAGTTTGAGGCTAATAGAGAGAAAGCTGCTGTGAACATTCATGTGCAGGTTCTGTGCGAACGTGAGTCTCCGTTTCTCCGGCACCAATGCCCAGGGTGCAGTGTTGGGTTGCACGTCTAGTTTTTTATTGTTTTAATTGATTTGAGAGAGAGAGAGACATTGGTTTGTCATTCCACTTATTTATGCATCAGTGGCTTGACTCTCGTATGTGCCCTGACCGGGAATGGAACCCGTAACCTCGGCATATCAGGTCGCCGCTCTAACCAACTGAACTGCCCGGCCGGGGCCGATGTCAGAGCTTCTGACTCAGACAGATCTGCGTTTGCTGCCGCAGTTGCCACGTCTGTGGGGACAGTCCCCAAGCCAGCACGACTAGCCAGAGACCGCCACGAAGGAGGCCTGTGGACACTGACCACCGTGTGGGTGGCGACCGTTTCATTTCCATTTCCCGTCTCACTGCCCGACATGCTGCCCCCTCCCCGGGCAAGGAAACAATATTTGTGTCTAGCAGCTGACTCAGGTGGGTGTTTGCAGCAGCTTATGGCCCCCCTGGAGCCAGCTACTTAAAACGTAAAGCCATCTCAGGACATGGATATTTTTTCACTGATTTTTAGAGAGAGGGAAAGAGATAGAAACATCAATGTGAGAGAAACACATTGGTTGGTTGACTCCTGCACATGCCCCAACCAGGGCCCAGGTTGGGGAGGAGCCTGTAACCGAGGTACGTGCCCTTGACTGGAATTGAACCCGGGACCCCTATCCCAGTGATGGCGAACCTATGACACGAGTGTCAGAGGTGACACGCGAACTCATTTTTTTGGTTGATTTTTCTTTGTTAAATGGCATTTAAATATATAAAATAAATATAAAAAATATAAGAGCCCTGTGGGCGTGGCTCAGGCTCCCGAGGTGACAGGAGGCAGGTGAGCGCTGGGCTCACACCCATAGGAACTGACCCGGGGCTGTGCCTCCCACCAGCACCTGGCGGGCAGGACACCGAGGAAGGTGTCAGCGGGGGTGCTTTCTGGGGCGATTCGCTTCTTGTCTTGCGATTCTGCATGTAGGTGAGATCACACAGCACTTGTCTTCCTCTGACTTAGCCTCCTGCCCTCAGGATTCACAGAGGAGGTGGCACATGCCGGATCCCTTCTTTATCGTGACCGAGTCGTGTTCCAGTGTGTAGTATGTGCTCTTGGCCCGTTCATTCTTGACATTGAGATTTTTTATTTGAAAAAAATTGTTTTAATCTGTGAAGACTCTAACACAGTGGTTCTCAACCTTCCTAATGCCGCGACCCTTTAATACAGTTCCTCATGTTGTGGTGACCCCCAATTTCATTGTTACAAATTGAACATAATTAAAGCATAGTGATTCATCACAAAAACAATATGTAATTATATATGTGTTTTCCGATGGTCTTAGGCGACCCCTGTGAAAGGGTCGTTCGACCCCCAAAGGGGTTGCGACCCACAAGTTGAGAACCGCTGCCTAACAGATGGATACTAGACTTACCAGGGCGATCACTTTGTAAGTTACATGAATGTCTAATTGCCGTTGTGTGTTTGAAATGAATATAATACTGTATGTCAACTATAATGGAACCATTTTAACAAATGGAATAAAAAACAAAAAGGAAAACGGACTCATGCAGAAAGAAGCTGCGTGGATTCCCGCTGATGAACCTGCTGTCGGGCACGGTGACCGCCCATACAGGGAGGCGGAGCGCTCTGCGTGGAAACTCCAATAAACGTGGATTTGGAAATGAAATCATCCGGAAGACGGGCCGTGGAGTTACACCCGTATCTGTCACGCCCCTCTGCGTTCTAGATGCGGGGTTGGAAATGAAGTGGAAGATTTCGTCTCCGTCTTCAGGAAAGCCTGACAGGGGAAGACTTAAGTTTGAGAAAAATTTGCATATGTAGTGCGTGTGCCAAGCCAAAAAGAGATAATATTATTGCTCCGTGTAATTTCTCCATGGAATCCGTGTTAACAGGATTGAGGCATCTCCTATACATTCTGATCAGATAAGACACATCTGTGTGTCCCTTGCTGTGTGTGGGTGGCATTCTGTAGATTTGAGCGTGGCCCTGGGATGCGACTGCGATGCGGAAATCGCTTCTTCTTATCTCAGTGGCTGCTCATTGCCGGGTGACTCTGGCACACAGTAGGTGCTCAGCAAACAGTGGCCGTGTGGCTGTCTGACTTTACAGGGGAATCGGTCTCCATTACACAGCCCCCGAGGGAGTGCCTGGCCTACTTCTGTCTCAGTTCTTTCCAGGAATGAAGGACAGTCATCCTCGTCCCGTCTGGGTCCAGGCAGAGGGCGTTCCAGATGTGGGTCCACGATGAGCAAGGGGACCCCTTGTTCGCTTCAAGACCATCAGCCAGTGCAGGTCCTTCCTGGGAAGCTGTTCTGCATTTAGCACAAAACCCGCCTGGGGGAGCTCCGCGTGCACCCGGAGCCGGCACCCGCGTCAGGGC